AGTTCTCTCTTAATTACTAGTATCACCTTAACGCTTGTTTATTTGTCTTGCTTTTGATGAAGCAACTATTTTGAACAGAAGTAGAGAAGTTGGCGATTGAAGGAGGTGTGAGTGTGTGTGGGGAGGGGGGGGGGTCACCTGGCGTAAAAGGTAAAATTAGCGTGAAATGGCCGCCAAGTTTGGTGATGTCCAAAGCTTTCGTGTCATTGAAAACTGAAAATGTGCATTGTGTGTGCCCTTCATCAACGTTATCCAGTGAAAATCACCACAGAAGTATGTTCTTAAATTGATATAAAAGCCGAAAAAAAATCCAACAACAAAAAACAACAAAAATAAAACGGGCAAAACATGGTCGGGTTCTTCAATTTCACAATCTTGTCGAGCGCCTGATTTCCTCACGATCGGCACACATGCATGTATATTCTATTTCTGTCTATTGCATGAACTGGCGCGCGCCCGCCTGACCGTCTTAAGCAGCGGCCTCGTGGCTCTGTTTAACCCCTTGTACATGTACAAGGCTCGTCCGTCTCTTACTTCAAGCGCACGCGTGTGTGAATTTTGTTTTCGCGCGAGTTTTGTTTTTCTGAAAATGCTTCTACCCCTGTTTTGTTTTGTTTCGCCTCTCAGCATGTTTGGAATGCTTCCTCGATGCTCGGTGTGCGTATATAATATTCTTGTACTGTATTTCTCGGTGTCTTACCTTGTAGACGGGAGTCAAAGACATCTTGTTTCACCTTCAGCGTTTTTTTCCCCTCTTTCGCTGCGGATGGTTGGCGGGTGCTCAGGTGTGGATTGCTTCTTCTTTCCTATTAAAATAATCCATCGTCTGTATCTCCCCTCCTTCTTTTTTGTGTTTGTTACTCTCTTGTAACACCTCTATTGTTCGGCACTTTTATGACCTTATTGTGTTGCAAGTGCCGTAAAACTTTTACTAAAACTTAAAAAAACTTCTTTCATCTCTTTCTTACATCTCTCTCTCTCTCTCTCTCTCTCTCTCTCTCTCCCTCCGTCCCTCCCTTCCCTTTCCTTTTTTTAATACATCATAACGGTACAATTTAAGACACGCACCTGTCTTAGACAACTTTTTTCCCCTCGAAAATGTGGGATGCGGAGACGTCTTAAACGATTTCCTCTGCATGATAATCAATAATAATAAATTGCATTTATATAGCGCATTTCCACCAAGAAGTTCTCAATGCGCTGTACAATAATACAAAGAACATAAGAAGCGCACAGCTCCTATAGTAATCCTCTTTATATATATATATATCTCACTAGTCTCACTCTGTCTCTCTCTCTCTTTCTCTCCCTCTCTCTC